GTTTCACATTACGTAACTCGTGAACTGTCAACAAGATATATGTCATTAAGGGAACAGCGCGCAAAAGCGTTTTTGACAAACAGCTAAAGCACATGAATAATGGAATGCATGGAATAATAGGACGCATGGAACGCTGTATTTAATTAAGTAGAGACACGTGAATAGAGATTGGGCGAGGGAAGTGAGTCAAGATTATTCGTATTTGTATTTTAATGAACAACGCGTTGAAAATTTTGCGTTGACTGCACTCACGGATGTTTTATGTTAATTGCGGAAGATAAAAGTCGGAGTCCTGCCATCGAATTGGTAATGCACGAGCGAAGCCAGTCAAATTGACCGCTTTACATTGGCAAGTTTATTGCTACGCTAACTTCACCCAGCTACCTTTTAACACGCACTGCTTATTGAATCACCACCCATTACGCAGGGCGATATACACATGTTTTATTGCTTCATTATTCATTTGCATTAGAGGCGAGATAGCTCAGCGGCAACACAGTTGCCTCCGCAGCATCATTGAACTGGAAGTCTCTGAATTCAATTTATTATTTAAATTGACAAATTATTCACATTTGTTACATAGCTTGTTTTTCAGCCGCTGTCTGGGGGAGAATTGTAACGGCCGGCTGCTCTGATCGGTAGGTTTCCGCGGTTTCCTCGATCAATTCCAGGCGAATGCCGGAGCAGTACCCTAACAAACGCAATGCCCTTCGCACGTGCTTTCCTTCCTCATCATTATCTCTTTCTCTCGCCTTACACACACACACACACACACACACACACACACCAACTCTTACACTTATTACCTACCACACATATCGGGAGACCAATCACAAACCTAAAACTTGTTGCGGCTGAGGCGGTGCTCAAATATATCGTTCGTGAATTCATACAACCAGGAACAATCGGCAAATGTTACATTCCCTGCTTCCAATGATAATTTCTTCCTTACTTTAGAACTACCGATCAACTTGCTGAATCACCTTCCCCAAGGCTTCGCCAAACTTTCAATTGCCTGAAGTAGCTACTAATTGGGTTTTAAATCAGGATTTCACATTAATATTTAACCGGCCTACAATTCGGCGTCCAGACTCTCACGAACTCAACCGAATCGCTCTCAAACACCTTTTGTCTATTTCATTTATTTTACGTCAAAAACAGCTCAAACATGTGTGTGACGTGCTAAGAGGACAAGTGTATTTTTTTAATTACCCCAAAATCTTTTACAAGTTTAATCTGAACACAGCGTCCATGACAACCGACGCTCCATCCCTCAATTGTTATTTACCACTCGTTCATACAACTCGTACAAAATGTCTAATTTCTTAACGTAACGATCCCTTTGCTTCATCCGCGTGCCAAATGCACCCTCGCCGACCTCGCTCACGGCGGCGGCCGAGCGCGAGCACTCACCAGGCGGCCCGTGGAGCGCAGCACCTCCTCCCGCGTCTTCTCCAGCGAGCCGGCCAGCGCCGAGCCCAGCGGCGGCACCTCGCCCGGCGCCTTGTCCATGTCCAGTTGCGGCGACGCCATCGAGTACTCGCGGCACGCCAGCAGCAGCTGCATCTCGGCCGGCGAGAAGAAGCAGTTGCGCTTGGTGTTGCCCGCGTGCTTCACCAGCATCGGCAGACACAGCTGTTGATCGCACAGAGCGAGCAAAGTTGAAAAACGTAGGATGATTCCGACGAGTAATTAGATCTATTTATACAAGTGTCTCAGAATAAAGGTTATAATCTTCTAGGGGGTGAAGGGGTAGAAAATGATAACTTTTTGCCAGTGAACGTTTAGCGGGAAATTTCATATAACGGAGTTATACATGTGGTATTTTCTTCGTATTTTTAGGTAACTCTTTAAGCACAATGTTCCGCAGTTCATTTTCTGACACATTCAAAGATATTTCACTAAAGTTTAGATGGCATTGGTGAAGTACGTGTAGGCGCGTGGTTATTGGTCGAAATATCCGAGATAAGTTTCTACATTCACCGCATGCAATTGCTGAAACATTTGTGCGATTAGCTGCCGACATTTTTTGTACAATTACTTGCCATGCTTCACACACCGGAGTTAAGTATTTTTCTTATAAACTTTATGAAAGCCCCAAATCACCGTACGGCGAGTACCCCATTTTGCGGCGTCAATGATGAAACGGTTAGCGTATCGAATTTGTTTTCGAGTTCGGGGGTTCAAATCAACTGAAGGGTGATTTTCAAAGCCGAAAACATCCTTCGTACGCCTCCCTTCGGTGGGGAAGTAAAGCCGGCTGTCCTATGTAGTAGATTGACTGCATATAAAATATCCTCAAGCCTACAAGAAGGCTATGAGAAAAACTCAAATCGCCTCCCGAGTGACACATATTTTCAGAACCAGACGGTGGAAGAAGAGCAGCGAAATTCAGGTGGTCAGGCGGAAGAGCAGGCCTCATGACATGAGCCTGACCACAGAAAAAAAGGCATCATTGAATTTAATTTAATTGAAAACCCACCGCCACCTCAAGCCGTTCCACCAGCTGGTCGAGCACCGCGAGAATGCGCTGGCGCTCCACGTGCACCTCGAGGAACATGCGCTGGCCGTCGGGCTTGGGCGACGCGCCCGCCTCCGCAGCACCCAGCGGCGCCTCCGTCTCGGGCTCCGACACAGACGGTTGGGTCGCGCCCACGGAGCGCGACGACGCCTGGCACACGCACAGAATCTCGCATTGCAATTCGAAATATTGTTTATTGCCTTTGAGTTGTGAACGTATAACGTTCCTTGGATTTTTTCAATCATTTATTTCCATCTTTAGGTCTTCAAAATCCATGAGTTTTTTTGTTGTTGTTAACATACGGAAAAAAGTTTCTCTGAACTATGTTAGAGAATTTTGTACCCCCGAATTATGTACACGCTTTCAACAGCTGCATGAAGTTTTTTGAAGACTTGAAGATGGGAGTAAACCCAGAATCCTGAAACGTTGATACTTAGAGTATAATAAAACAATAATGATTAATTTACAATGTTTATTTTAGATGAATATATAAAAAAGTAAATGAGTATTATATATTTAAATGGAGTTACCCAGTTTCCGTTCTTACTAAATCGAAATACATGTAATAACTGACGTTTCTGGAGAAGGGAATGAAATGAAAGAAAGAAAAATCGAATTCAAATTTAATTAAAAATCGATGTAGGGAAATGAGTATTGTTTTTATTATTAAAAAGAGTCTACATATTAAATTGGCCCTAAAATCTACATAAAAACCTCGATTAAAGTCCAATGGATTGATTGTAAAAGAATTTCCTCTGCTGAGGATATTAGTACAGCGAATGATAAAAAAGAACAATCGTATGAATTGTTCCTGATTATCTTTTTCAATTCATATTATGCATTGTTTGAGATTTATTCTGCGACGACTATATTATCTCTACAGTTAATTTTTACATTAAATTATGATGTCAATTATTACATGGAGATTAAATGTAAGTTGATACTATCAAAAAAATATTGTGACATTGTCTTTAGTAAATTTGAAATATTACGTTTAAGTAAAATTTAATTCATTAGTTGAAATATGAAGTATCAATTGAAATATTTCATTGTTTAGTTCATCTTAATATCATAACCAGATACTTATCAGAAATGAGATATGTTAAAGGAAATTTGGTAATTCACAACTCACTGGTTCTGAAAAACCGACTTAGACGTATCTTGAGCGATAGTACGGCTTGTGACAAATGACCTGTATCATAAGTAATATGCAAATGACGTGAATACAAATTCGACCCTTTAAAAATCACAACGTTCCCATTGACAAACTCGAAGAAAATGAGTTGTTAGAGTTTCTATCTGGTTTCTGCTACTCGTACAATATACTCGTGCTTCAATCTGTGGACAAATAGCTACGGTAAAAATCACTACTGTGGATAGAGAGAAGGCTGAAAAACGAGTTAATGAAACTTAGACATCAATTTACTCGGAACAACTGAAATGTCAGTTGGTACCTTGTCTGCAACGAGTGCGTGATCTGGGCTGTCCGGGTGACGCCGCGTCGAAGGCTGTGTTGTTCGTTTGACCATCTTGTGGTGTTCTTCCTCAGGGCTTGTATGCCACAGGGCACATATGCCTCAGGGCTCGCATACCAGCCCCGAGGAAGACCACGACACGATGGTCGAAACGTCGGCAACACAGCCTTCGACGCGGCGTCACCCGTTCAGCCCAGATCACGCACTTGAATCTGGCCGCGGAAGCCTACGTCTTCACTTGTCTGCAACGTACCTGCGACGCGCCCGCCGCCGACGAGGGCCTCCTCGGCTCCACGATGGACGCCGCCGCCTGCACGGCATCGCGCACCACCGCCGCCGCGCCCGCCCCCAGCGCCGTCATCTTGCCTGCCCCGGCCGCCCCCGGCCGCCCGCGCCCGAGCTGTCGCCCTCGGCCGCGCCCGCGCCCCCGGGCGCTGCGGGCCGCCGCGGGCACGGTGAGCCCCGCCCCTCCACCCGCCGCGTTCCCATCACCCGCCTCACGCCCGCCCGGCCCTGAGGCTTTGAGCGTTTCCGTGGCGTACCGACGCATGTGATGCGGTCGGCGGTCTGTCCGCGCGGGCGGCGCCAACCGGCTTGATGGAGCCACTGACATTGTGGCATGGGTGTTTTGGGCAAGTTGTACTTGAATTCGGACGGGAGGTTTTGGCAGTGAAATAAACCTCAAAAGGGTTTTACCAGACGCATTTGCGTATTAATTCAGTAATAAAGGAATTAAAAATTAGAAATATAAGTTCATCCCGTTTTTTTGGAGTACATTTTTTTTAGATTTCGACATGACCACTTAAAAGACACACCGTACCCATACTTTTTTATGATTCTAATTTAAAATTACAAATGAAGCACATATAATAAAAATTCACTTTTAGAGTGATAAGCATTGAAAATAATGCATTTTTAATGTAGGTTTTAAAAATTCTCTATGAGTAAGAATGTAAAATCTTTTCAATGTTCTTCATTTGCAATAAATTGTTACTGCCATTATAATATTGAAATGAAATGACGAACAGTTTTTGATTGTACGAAAATTGTACGAAATGACGTACTTTTCTTAGTTTTGTAAACTTCCAGAATTCGAATATTTTTTATCATTGGTGCCACGGGGTTTAATTTTTTAAGCAGAAAATTTAATTGCACTTCAAAATCTCGGGCGTTATTTTATATGCTCAATTATTCAATATTCAAAAGAAACATTTGTGTCGACGCCTACGAATATAGATTTCGTGACAAATTTACCACTCTATTTGCCCAAAAATTATAATGAAATATATCCAATATGAGTCTAATTCATAACATAACGTATCGGTTAATTAATGTAAATGTTAGATGAAATCCTACATTAAAAATAAGAAATATATTTGGAATAGGATCCACCATATGCTTGCCCTGAAGAATTGTACCATCCCATCCACACAATACTCTGAATTTAAAAACCCATTGTAGGAATTATTTTATTATATTGAATTATTGTAGGATTACTGTCTATCCCTCGACAGTTCGAATGAAGTTTCAGTATCTATAATTTTTCAGATTATTCAAAATTTCCTCGATTAAACTAAATTTTGATCTTTCTCAGACGTGAACGTGACATTCCTAATTATGGGGAGTTAAAGCTAATCATTTATGTCTAGATGCCCACTTTTACGACTTCTCAATCTTTGCTTCCTCTGCTGATGCTCCTTTCGAATAAGTAGGCAGTAGTGATGGGTCAGGTCAACAAATCTCTCTCGTTAATGTAGTTAGCTGAGCGGGAACGCTGCTTCCTGAAAACATAAACGAACAATTTAAATGACAATAAATGTGAAGAAAAAAGGATTTATAACAGGGAAATCTATTGTAATCCAAGTAGTGGAGTAGGTATATTACTGTTAATTGGAGAATGTAATACATTTTGAAGCACTGAAAATGATGAAAATATTGTTGATGTACTTAAAAATTGAATATTAAAGTAAATATTGAATTGTTGAAATATTGAAATACTGAATTGAAATGAGAGAGAGACTTTTAATAACATGTGTACTGTAATTTTTACAAGAATTATCAAAATTAGGTGGCAATGATAACGCTTCAAGTATTTATTAGTGTACCCAAATTATATATAGGGTGAGCCATCAAATTTATTAGTGTATTATTACAAAACGCAAGGGAAATTTAGAAAAATAACACGCCCGGAATCTGCGTACGCAGCAAGTAAATGTTATTTACCATTTCATACTTCAAACCCTTGATTAGAAGAAATATCAAGCTTAAGCAGTGCTTTGATGCTATTGATGTTGCTTTAACAATCCCTTCTTTACTTCTTTACGTCCTTACTGTGAAGTATGAAATAGTTTGTCTATATAATTTGGCAGTAGTGTCATTTAGTATTTATTTATTAATGGTGGCAGTAACAAGTTGTCGTACATATATCTTACAACGATGTAACGTGTTAAACAATAATTTAGTTTGATAGAGTAACTGTTTAAGAATACGTACCACAATTATAAAGCACGGATTATTTGAGTACACATACGTACACATACATACCCACATGTATATAAATATACTTATATGTACGTATATGTATATTTATACACGTATATGTATATTTATACCTCAAATCGACAACAGTCAGTATCTAATTAATTTTGGGCAATTGGTAAACGAATAGAAGCTTAATGTACACGTACAAAAGAGAAACAAACATGAAAGTGCTCGACGAATGCAAAAGCTGTCTTACGTTTTAGATATGTTACGATAAATGCATGCACAATCAAGTCTACAAACTAGCTACATAAAAACTACCTTAGCCAAACTGCGACCTAAACGTGACCACTTTCAAATCACAACCACCTCGTAAACATAACTACGTGTATCGCAATGAGTAAACAACCTCTACACCTATAACCCAAACAAATCAAAAACACTGTCGCATCGCGTCACCCACCCGGAGCTCGCGCGCCAGCTTCTCCCGGCCGTGCGCGAGGTTGGAGGTTGGTCAGCTGTCTTCAGCGCCGTCGCCGGGCGTTCGCGCAACTTCCGCGCGTCTCCGTGCGTCCGTCGCTGCGTGGCTGCGGCGGCGTCTGGGCTGCGTGCGTCGATGCGGCCGGCGTCGCTCACCCGTTGGGAACGAGGGCGATGGGCGCGCGTCGCCCGGCAACGCGTCAACAGCGCCTCCGCACCGCCTGGCACCGCCTCCCCCCCCCCTCGCGGACTGGGGGCGCGAGGGCAGTCGCGGCCTCCTGGCAGCTAGCGCAGGTCGGAGCGGAGGACGCACTAAGGATTTCTTCCAGATACAGGTAGGGGACGGTGTTCGGACGGCGGTGAAATCTGATGGTTGAGGAAAAATGACGTACCGCGAACGATAAGAAGGATTTTGATCCAAAATTGGAATTTAAAAAGAAATAGTAGGTTATAAAATAATATAAAGACAATTTTTTCCTTGAGAAAATTTGGCCAAAAATTGTCTCTCGAAGAAACATTTCAATAATTCAATAACATTATTGATATTATTATTGTTATGAATTGATGTTACGTGCTAAGAGTTTCTAATGAGAATTACTAGTTATTTTGTAATGAGCATGCCAGGCGACAAATTGTTTACTTTAATTTTGAGAAATAATGTATTATGAAAATGTTTTTTATAAGGTATATTATTTACACAAATATGTAAATATGATATAATACTGTGACGATGTACCAAGATTACGCGGTTATGGATATTAGTACTACAGGTTATGCTTCCAATTCTTCCGTTGTGTTTGCACTCATTGGTTTCTTTTCCTGGACTTAAAAACAAAATAATAAGCTGCGAATTGTTCACATATGTGTTTGAGAAGGAAAACTACATCTCAACGATTTTTTTACTCACCATATTGTCGTGGAACTAATATTTCCGCAGGTGAGATTCATAACCTAATCTAATCAGATCTAATCGGAGTCATACAATACGTTCAGTCAGTTGTCAACGAACAAATTATTTAACCCAATCATTTATGTGCCAAAAATTAAAACTTTCCGCTTTTTTTCACAACTTTCTTTCTATTTTTTATCGAAGGAAACTGTGAAAAGGTCACTGACCTCATTTCCATTGTGTTCGTATTTCCACAGCGATCCAAGAGTGAACACTGAAAACGACCTTAGCACTAAAAAAAGTATGTAAATGTCAGTTCGATTCGACGTTAGAAAAATGTGATTCGTAATTGTGTTTTGTAGTTATTAACATCATTGACATTTAATACTCATTGTGCTATCTGGCCAAAACTGGCCAGAGAGTTGGCGAAAGGATAATCTTTCTGTGACAGTATTTGCTCATGAAAGGATGAAAGTACCACTACATTATTATTATTGAGAGTTTTTTCTAACAAAAAAGACAACTTTTCTCTTGTAACTGGTTAGAGCTTTGTGCTTGAGCTATCATATTTTATTCATGATAATATAAAATACCAAATGCATTGAAATTTCATTTGATATTCAAAGAATGGTGAGTATAAATTTGCGTATAAAATATTTATACAACCTGTAGAGAAAACAGTTATGAACGAGTGCACACATAACAAGTTATTGGGTTTCATTATTTGCATTCCGCAATTTTTATTCAAATTGCATTATGAATCCACTGATGTTTTCAACAATTGCACATATACTAGAATGTGGTTTACCCTTATTGACTCATGTTACTGGAAATAATTTCAATAGTTTTAAATTTATAAACCGAAATACCATTAAGGGATTTCTACAATAGATACTCAATATGTCAATGGATGAAAACACAAAAGAGTGAAACGTGAAATTGATTTAATCAATAACTATCATTTCATTTTTTCAAGGGGGATTGTCCCTTAAAAGTGAATTCTCATTGTGGTATTCTCTTTCTTTTGAAAAAAGAGAACTCATCCCGCTGTTTATACAAGTTCACGATAATATCACATTTTAAGACAATAATATATAAGATCTTGAGTTATTTATTTCAGTATCCATTCGTATACTTTCTAAGTATGCACCTGGGACATTCTGTCTTCGCGTTATTGTTAATTCTCTATCAAACCTAGACGGACTCGGTCTTAAAGTGTACCAACTACTTTGGGAAATAAAATTTCAAAATTAAATGCTATTCATTGCTGGCACGAGACGTTGTCGAAACAAGTCCAGGTAGATTGATGTCGGAAAGCCTCTTTGTAACTACGGCACGAAGGGGCGTGCACCGCCAGAGGGACGAAATTGCCGTCAGAGGGCGACCGCGGTCTTTTCAGAACTTACTCCGAGCGCGCAAATCGATAGGTTTTAACCTCAGTTGGGAGGAAATACGAGAAAATTATTTCATGGAATTGTTGCTTCTTGCTTTCAATTACGGATACAACGGGACAATTTGGGAGACTAGTTTATCCTCATTATTTTATGTTGTACATATACGACGGGTAACTTCCTGCAAAGGGAGACTTATTTATTTGTTAGTTATATATTTATTTACTAATTATATACTAATTATTCACATATTTATTGTTAAACACAGTAAAATCGGCCCTTGGCCGGTATGAGAGAAGAATAAACTGCGCAGATTTTTTAATTTATGCTTCTTGGTGTCTAAGAATATTGGACGGGCTTATTCCCTTTTTCATTCGGGGTTTTTGTTTTTGGCGTCCTTTCTCGTGATTACTTTCTTCTTTTTACGTAGTATACTTATTTTTTGTGCGTTTATATAAAACAAGTAAATTAAGGAGACAATTACATTTTGTGTTTCTCGTCTCTGGAATATTTTTTATAGTGAAAGAGTGGTGTTTCAGGAGTTTGTTTAAACGTGCGCATATATACACGGCGGGGGAAGGATGATTCAACCCGGTGAGCGGAATTGCCACCATAGAGCGTTCGCGTCATCTGCGAATGTGACAGTGAGCGCGCGAATAGAGTTGAAGTACATTCGGCAAGAGAACACCAGAAAAAAAATTTGGCGACTAGATTCTTCTGCTTTTACTCTTCAGGTACGTCCGGGGGGAACTCGAAGGGGAACATGTAAAGCTGTGAAAGCAGCGATTTGTGCATATGTGCGACCGCCCCTGTCGAAATTGCTACTAGAGAGCGAAGGAAGCATGTTCAGAAGAAGTTGCGACCACGCAAATCGATACTCTTGACCTGCATTCAGCAAAATAGAACGTGAATGAAATTTTAGGCAACTTTTCTATTGGTTTTACTCTTCAGATATCTCCGGTAACGGCATGTGAAAGAGAACTTGTGTATAGATGTGGAGACCGGCATTTGTGCAAAGGGGCGATATCTCCTGTCGGGGAGCAATATTGCCGCTAGAGGGCGAAGGTCGCCTATTCAGAGATTACTGAGAGCACACAGGTGGGTCGTTTTAATTGCATTCAGTAGAACAGCACGCCAGTGAAATTCTGGGCGGCTAGTTTTTATTGTTTTTAATCTAGAGATACTTCCCGGTAACGGCATGTGGAGGATAACTTATGCATATAGATGTAAAGACAGGCAATTGTGGAAAAGGTGATATCTCATGTCGGGGAGCGAGATTGCCGCTAGAGGGCAAAGGCGGCCATTTTAGAGGTTCTGCGAGCACACAGGTGGGTAATTTTAACTGAATGCAGCAGAATTACACAGGAATGATATTCTAAGCGGCTAGTTTCTATTCTTTTACTCTCGAGTTACGTCCGGTAACGTCACGTGAAGCAAAACGTACATAGAATCGCAAAGGTAGCGATTTGTGAAAGAGGCTATCTAGCCTGTTGGGGAGCTAAATTGCCGATAGATGGCGAAGGAGGGATGTTTAGAAGTAGCTGCGAGCAACCATTTGAATGGAATTTAGCAGAATATCACGAGAATGAAATTTTAGACTACTTTTCTATTAGATCGAAATATGTCCGGTAACGTCATGTGAAGGACAAGTTATGTACAGTTGTGGAGAGAGCGTTTTTTTCAAAGAGGCGATCTCATCTGTTGGGGATTGAAAAAGCCGCTAGAGGGCAGAGACGGCCTATTAAGAAATACCTGCGAGCCCGCAGATTAATACATTTGAACAACATTTTTTAGCATATAGCACGATAATGAACTTTTAGGCGACTTTCATATTGAGTTTCTTACAAGTTACGTGCAATTCCGGCACTTGAAAGAGGTCTTATGTATAGATGTGGAGGCAGCGATTTGTGCAAACAGGAGATCTTCAATATCGGGGAACGAAATTGCCGCTAGAGGGCGAAGGTGGCTTCTTTTATTATTTATTAATTTTGATAGACACAAGTCTGCAGCCATATGGCAAAGGAATTAAAATTTAAAACTATTTTACTCTGACATGTATTCGACTCTATAGGATCTTATCACAAAGATTGAATTTGTGTTTTGACTTTACAAAAAGTCACATATAATTGGAATAACATGTACATCTTACGTTTTTAGAATGTCCACAATATTTTTGACTGAGGTAATATTAAGACGATAGAGTTAATATAATCATAATATTTCTTAAGTTATCAAATAATGTACAGCGCCATAATAAATGATCAAAAGTATTATTCTGTTCACCATATTCACAAAAACCTGGATTGACAATTTGAATCTATTCAAACTATGATTTAATGATGAATGATTTGATCTCATTTTTTAATGATAACAACTTCTTTTCTAGTTAATTTGAATTTATAAAACCATGGTATTGATGCTGTTATATAATAATGTAAGAAATACTCTCTGCCTTTTGAGTGACCAATATTTTCAACATTTGCCAAGATATTTTATTGCAAGTACAAACCTCCTTGGTTATAGCGACATCATCTACCGAAATATTGAATCAGTAAAACATATCGTTTATTATGGCTGATTTAGCTTCTCTATCGGCATTCTAATTTCCATTTATACCAATATGGGCAGGAATGTAAGTAAAAGAAATGTGGAAGTTGTCGTCCTCTTCATGTTAACATAATTTCTTTATTTCTAAAATAATATACGATTGATTTTTAGTTATTTTACTATTAGTTAGAGAAACCAAGACATTCTTCGAAACAGAAAGATGACATATGAAGTAAATTTGAATTCAGCAATCATTTTTACTGCTTCTAGGATAGCTGGAGCTTCAGCAGTGAAAATGGAAATTTTACAATTAACTTTAAATTTCCTAATTATCTCATTATCAGTGCTCCAAATAGCAAAACCAACTGAGCACTTCAAATCATTCTTTAAACCA